CCCCCCCACCCCACTCCGGGCAGCTCACAGACCCCACAGTGCCCAGGGCTGCACCCCATAGGGACCCACGTGTCCTACGGCCTCGCTGGGTGCCAGGGACCCCAATCCCAGGGGATGAGCAGGGTGCCGGGCCATACGCCCCATCGTAACCTGCTGGCCCATCCTCTGCCTGGCTCCGCTCGCCCCATGGCCCTCTCTGGAGTCACAGCCACCTTAGAACATCCCCACTGGGGAGCAGAGAGACCCGAGGCATCCCCACTGCACGCCCCCCCTTCATCTGCCCAAATCACCCCCTTGACCTGACCAAATACCCCACTGAAACCTCTTCAGAAAGTTCCCCCTCCTCTTCCCCACATTTCAGCCGCTGCCTGCTCCCCTCTTGCACCCCTGGATCTGGAAAACCGGCCGCGGTTCAGAGCTGACGGAGATGTGATCACACTGCGAGGAGCCCTCCCCGCTACCCAGGAGAACCCCACTCGGCCCCACCGAGCCGCTGTACGGCCGGAGGCACCGCGCTCCCTTGCGTCCTCGCCCCAGCAGCTCTAACGAGAGGCCATCTCGGCCGCTTTGCCAGGGGAAGTAATTGCTTCTGTGCAGTAATTAATACCAAAATGAGAACGCCAAAGCCACAGCTCCCCGGAGGTTTTGGGCATGCTCGGGGTTATTCCCGTCCCGCTGCAGCTGAAGAGGAGCGCAAGCGCGCAGGGTGCAGGCAGGGGCTTGGGCTGCCTGGCCTTGTCCGTGCCTTGGCCAGCACGGGACAGGGACACGAGCCCTGGCCACCTGCCCCAGGCCATGTCCCGTCAGGCCTGACACAGGGAGCCCAGGCCAACCCATGGCAGGTTGGCCACGGGGCAGGGCACCCTGGATGGGCCCCAGTTGGGAAGGTTAACTGGCCCGAAGGCCAGCAAAACTGGTCTGAAGGCCAGCAAGGGGACCCAGCACTGGTTCGTGGAGCAGGATGAGCGCAGCCTTGTCTCAGGGGAGTGTTCGTTTCCCAGGCCCCGCCTGGAGCAGCAGCAGGGAGCAGACCGTGGCCGTCAGGCACGGGGCCAGAGCAGAAATCCTCACGTTCTGCCCGCTGCCAGCTCCACCGAGCGCTGGGAGGCAGGCAGAGCACAGGCAGGCAGGGCAGCGCCTCTGGGCACGTCGAGGGAAGCTTTCCGTTCCAGAGGTCATCAGAGGTGGCTCCTGGCTGCGTTTCTGGATGCAGAACGGGAAGTCCCTTCGTTTGGGATTCGGATCCCGGCGTCTTCGTTGCAGGACGGACACTTCAGCAGCAGGACTTGCTCTTCGCATGAGGCAGGACGTGGGACTCGCAGGCCAAAGACAGAGCCCAGATGGTGGCAGCCTTGCTGGAGGGATCTGGAGCTTGGGGTCCTGATGGAGATGGCATGGAGGAAGCACGCTGCCCGGCTGTTGGTGCGGAGGTGTGTGTGCATGAAGCACGGACGGAGCTACCCCTCTGCCTCTGGGTCCCCTGACCACAGCCAGGCTCCACCACAGCTGGGTGCATCCCACATCACGTCCCCGTGGGACTCCCAGGGCTGCATTGATCCCTTACCCAGCTCCCACTCCTGCAGAGTTGATTCACAACCTCCATCATCACCCTCGAGGGCAGTTCTTCACCACCAGCCTTGGCCAGACCCGGCTGGGGAGGAGAGAAATGAGTCAAAGGGCAATTAAACATTAACAGCAGGCGGTCGCCGCGGGAGGACAGCTCACAGGGCTTCCTTTGTTCCAAAGGGGGGTTTAATTTATAAAAATAACACAACTTAGAAGGTCACCGGCATCGCTAGACGTGACACGCGTGTGTAATCATCTCCAAACATCCGGTCAGCTCGGTAAACAGACAGGAGAAACCCCAAGACCGGCGGCCAGAGTCACCTGAGGAGCAAACAGGAGGGACCGTGCATGGCACAACAGACCTGGAGAGCCCCTGAGCAGCAGGAACCAAGGAAGCCTTTAAACTACTCCAAGGCACTGAGATCCCACCCTCAAAGCGAAGTGCACCATTCAGCAACAGGATTATTTACCCTCCTCAATGGAAAAAGAATACAGAGAAATAGGTTTCAAGCCAGAATTAAGTGGTTTCCTCCACTAGATAAGTGGGGAGGTTTCCAGTGAACTCCATAGCCTTATAAAACGTGTGGAACAAGACCCCATCAGTGTAACCTGCCACAGCCCCAATGCCTGCCCTGCTGATCTCCCCCGGCCCAGCTTTTTATACATCTGGGAGAGGAAAAAATGGAGCTATTTTAAACATTAACCTCTTGTAGCAACATCTCCCCTTGGTTACTTCTACACCAGAGGAGCAAAAAGTGCTTCCCAGCAGGACAGATTGTTTCTTCTTCTCAGCAACCCAGCACCAGAAACCAGAGCAAGAGCAAAATGATACTGGCTTTAAAGTCCCTTAACGCTTGCTGCCAAAAAGAGGGAGGGATCTACTGTTGATTTATGATATATTTTGAAGGGGAAACACAGAAAAGCTGCCTTGAAGTGAAAAAAAAAAAAATATTGCACTGACCATAGGAGAAAACACTTTCGAACAGGATACCTGTGGGGTGGGGTAAGGATACGTACGCACGCACTCGGTAGCTTTCATTTCATAGCTTGGTGTCCTGACCTTCCCTGCCAAGCTCACAGAGCAGCGAGGAAATAAAACCGGGTCCTGACAAAACCACGGGACCCCGAGGGATCTCCCGTTTGGTCCCCCCTAAGAGCCTGGCAGCCATCACGGCTCTGACTTCCCTCAGGATCACAATGACCAGATCCCAAGGCTCTGCAAGCACTTCTTGGGGTGACCAGCAACGATCGATCCCCTCTAAATCAACAAGACTATTCAAAGACAACAGCAGCTGTGACTTGGAGGGAGTAACCCGCACCCACCTGCTGATCAGCAACCCGTAACACAACCAGCAAAGCAGGGTGATGCATTGCTGCCGTGAGAAAAGAGGGCCGGGGGAGAACACGCCCCCTCCACCGCTCGCCTAACCCGAGAGCGCCGTGGGGCCAAGCGAGCAGGCAGATCGCAGGCACCCACGCAGCTCTGCGGTGCGGGCGAAGCTCGGGAGACGAGGCTGGCCGAGGGGAGGAAGGGCAGAGCTGACAGGCAGCCATGTTGGGGGCCGAATTGCCTCCTCCTTGGGTCAGCACCCTCCTCCTGCCTGTAAATGGCCAGGGCCACCCACAGCCGAGGACAGTCCCCCACAGGGGCTGGTGGCACCTACCCAGAGCTCGCCAGCACGGCGTGAGCAGAGGGCTGGAAGAGGGGGAGCACGTGGCTTGAGGGCCTGCAGCCTTAGGGGCTCTTCCCGACGAGTTGAGCTCAGGGAGATGGAAGGAGGCGGTGGTAGGAGACTGTGCTGTCATGAGGGGGTGGGTGCCAGGGGGGAGACCCCTAGTCCTGCCAAAGGGACTGTCCTTGGCACCGTGACAGCTCAGGGAGGAAGGGGACAGGCCAGGGAAGACTGGGACACTCTTGGAGCCAGTTTCTCTCTGCAGTACCAGAGAGGCTTACTCAAGCAACCCGCCCTTTTCCTCACTGCCAAAAGCAGCATCGCTGGGTGTCAGCTGGAAGAAGCCAGCTTTGACCGAGCAGCTGAACGGCCCCAGTGCTCGGCAGTGCCGGCGCGGCTTTCAGCACGGGCAACCTTGCAGAGGTGGCTCCAGGATAACCCAGAAGGACCGACAACCCACTGCCCCTCCTGGGCATCCTCCACCCACGACACCAATGCTTTCAGGTGCAGCAGCACTCGCTCTGCCCTCACTGCATCCACAGGTTAGGGCCAGGCAAACCCCTCCACGGCTGGTAACTCCCAGGAGGTGTAACACAGCCAGGAAGGTGGGGACCTCACTGCTTTCAGCACTTAACGCCAACCACAACCTGGGGCCACGGATGCAGGGAGGGTTCTGGGGTCCCTCTCCCCTCCTCCGCACTCTGTCTCCTTTCCACCACATCGCAAGCGCAGTACAGTCGGATGCAGTCCTGCTTCCACGGGTGGTGCTGGGAGTGTCTGTGTCCATGCCAGCGGTAAGCGTGAGGAGGAGAAGGGTGCCCCACGGCCGTACGGCTGCCTGGGAGCTAGCTGGGAGGAGGGGAAGGTTTCCAGCTCTGAGTGGTTCTGTTCCCTACTTGATGTTTTTGAGAAGTGCGGTTCGGGCGTTCACCACCGCTTTGAAGGCGTCCTCGCTGCCGGGAGCCACACACTTATCGGGGTGGAGCAGCACGGCCAGCTTCCGATAGGCTTTGTTCACTTCATCCCTAGGAGATACGACAAGAGTGAGGGGACCCACGCCACACAAAGCGTGGCTCAGCTTTGCCCCGGCTGGCAGAGCACAGCAGGGCCAGGAGCTCCCCCTGTGCTAAACACCCCTGTGCAGACACTTCTGAGCCCTTCCCTTGCTGGCACTAGGGACCTCCAGGCTTTGGAGGCGATGCTATGGAGAAAGAGCTGGAGAAAAGCACACAGGGCGCTTCTTGGTGTGGCATGAGCAGAGGAGGGGGAGAACCCCTCTCCTGGGGCAGATACACCCTCTCCCCCACGGGACTGTGCCAGCACGAATGCTCCCATCATGCCAGACACGTGCCTGTGACACATGTCTCGGTGTGCCAAGTCTCTGGCACCAGGAGAGCAGAAAGCTGGGAGACAGCGTGGGGGCACACGCACCCTGACTCAGCTTCGCATCAAACCGCCTACGCGCTCCGGGCGAAGGCATTGCACATCGCTTCAGCCCTTTAAGCCTTGGGTGTCTGGTCCAAGGCAGACATCTTGGCTCCAGCTGCAGGCCGTGGAGAGAAGAGGGCACCTCCTGCGGGAGATGAGTCTGTCCGTGCTGGCAATCACAGCACAAACTGCCCTGCAGAGCTGCTGATCTCTCCCCACGGATGAGAGGGGGCCGGAGGAGGGGTTAGGCTCAACACCTACATTTCAGAGAGCCAACAGGAGAATGTACGAGTCCTGAATGATATATGTTATGCAGAAATCTACTCTCCAGCCCCTCCGCAAGGAGTACACAAGGGTAGACCTTGTGTTTCAGAGAGAAGAAAGCAAGGCATAGCTCTGGGAGCTTGTTTTAGCTGCCCAAGTCATACAGCAGAACTGGGAGATTCAATATCCAACCTCTTATACAGGCAATGACCAATTCCACCTGACTAGAGGTCCTCCGAGGAAGACAAGAGAAAGCTTGTCTTGTGGGAGTACTGTTTCCAGGTGGAAGAACTGTAACATCAACCCCTTTTTGATAAAGTGGGCAGCAGCCTTACAGCAGCTTAAAAGCTTCTCCAGACCTGGAGAGGAAGGAAAGTAAAGCTGGAGCTGCTCCAAACACGTCTGGCAAGTGAGTGACCAAAGACGGCTCAGCCTGGAGGCAGGATGCAGGGCCAGGCAGCTGACAGGGCTGAAGTTCTCATGTTCATCACTCCCCGCCCCTTGCCTCCAGCCTGGCTTGTCTGTTAAAAGGAGAAATTTGGTGCTCAGGACCGAGGGCTTCTTTTGCATTGCCTCAATTTTGTGGCTAGATACAAACTACTTGTGCCCAGCTGCTATATAAACCAAGGTAAGCTTATCAGCAGGCAGGTCACAGATGCAACCAGCCTGCTGGGTCAGAAAGATTAGGGACAGCCAGGCAAATGCTGAAGTCTCCCTCACCTTGTGGCTCCGGGTTTGACCCCCAGCATGTCCCAGCTGTCCTTGCTGTTGCGAATCCTGCGAATGGCATCTGCCTGCTCTTTGGTGAAGCTGACCCCCACGCTGGAGGGGGGACGCTTCCCGCCGTTGTCACACAGGTCGATGATGGCGGAGTAAAAAGTCTGCAGACACAGGGAGGAGTTAGCGGGAAGGAACGGTCCCCAAAGGCGGTGGCAGCGCATAGGAGATCCCACCACCCTTGCTGACTGAGGGCTCATCCTGCGATGCGAGTGGGATCATTTGCACAACGGCTGAATGTTCACTCCCCACTGCCTGGGCCGTGGGGGGGCCGGGATATCCCAGTTGGGGGGATCCGGTCCCTGCAGGGACAATGGGACAGGCTGAGAAGGAGGCCAGGCCCCACATTTATCTCAAACCCACTTCAGTTCAGTACTAGACCTGAAAAGGTGACATGGGCATCTCTGCATCGTGTTCCCAGTGCAGCAAGAGGGATCATCAGCTTTGAGCAACGCAATGCTAGGGCCAGCTCAGGACTAGGAGGACCAATACTGATCCTGACCTAAACAGGTATGGCTTTCTCAGGGTGGCATTTCACTGGGAAGACACCTCTGGAGCAGAGGGCCAACGGGTTTTGTGGGATCCAGGCAGTTCAGGGGATATTCTGCCGTCAAATCTTGGCTTAATGTGGTGTTTGTGCCCTCACCACCTTCATTCCGCCTCACCTGAAACATCTCGTTGATTCCTTCTCCTGTTTGTGCTGATGTCTCAAAGTAAAGAAAGCCCCGGCTCTCTGCCCAGAGCCGCCCCTCGCTTTCATCCACGCTGCGGTGCTTGGTGCAGTCGATCTAGACCGGGAGAAAAGGCAGAGATCAGAGCCCAGGCAGGGTCTGCAATGGCAGCTGGAAGAACAGAGCTCCAAGGCTGATCGTCTAATAGTGGGTAAGGGGCCTGTCTGGTTGGAGAGGCTGTTTGCTTATCCCGAAGGGATGGAGGCAGTGTGGAAAGAAAGCACAGAAAATGCAAGTGAAAAGGTCTTTGAGAGTTCGTCTAGACCAGAGACAGTGTCACCTCTACTTGATCCCCTCCTGACTGATGTGTGGCCACCACATTCTCAAAACCACGTTGAAATACAGTCTCCAGTGCTCCTCACACACACGTCCGGCTCTTAGAAAGTCTTCCCTACAACCTAACAATATTTCCCTTACTACAGCTGGAGCTCAACAGCTTGGGCACAGGCTGGGAACACAACAAGCCCTGAGGGCCGGAGATCAGGACCGCACTGCAGCCTGGCTCCCCACCACAGCCCACCTTGTTCGCACAGACAACGAAGACAATGTTCTCCATGTTCCCGTGCGGGCCCAGCTCCTGCTTCATCTCGGCTAGCCACGCGTCCAGCGCGTCGAAAGACTCCTTTTGTCCGACGTCGTAGACCAGGATGACCCCCTGCGTGTCCTTGTAAAACTCGTTCCTCACCTGTGGGGACAAAGGCAGGGCGCTGGCACCCACGACAGCCAGGCTGAGAGCACACGGCCCGACGGATCTGGGCGATCGCCATTTAGCTGGAACCTATTTGGTTCTGTGATAAAAATCTCAGGTCCACACAAACAGAAGATCACAGAAAAAGGACAGATGGGGGAACCCCAATACTACCCTCACTGTGCTGCCAGAGGAGAGCAATCAGCCCATAAAACACTCACCTCCACACAAAAGAGAAGCACAATGGCAGACAAGGTGTCAGACCAACTCCTGGGGAGACTGGGAGGTCTGGGAGTCGCCCGAGACATCCGTGTGTGTCCCTGTGTGTGAGGCAGCAGGGGAGAGCAAGGATCCAGGGCCAGCCACTGGACGGACTGCATGTCTAAGCCCAGCTACTGGCGGGATCTGCAGGATGTCTGTCTGTGCGTGTGGGTGCATGTAAGGGGGTCTGTACCAGCAGCTGGAGCGGGGTTGCAGCCTCTGGGGCTTGTATGCCCAGTGCCAGCAACTGGGGAGACCGAGGATCCCCAGGACAGCTGCTGGATGAGGGTCTAAGGTCAGCTACAGGACAGATATTGGAATAGACTAGACTATTTCAGTTGGAAGGGACCTACAACGATCATCTAGTCCAACTGCCTGACCAATTCAGGGCTGACCAAAAATTAAAGCATGTTATTAAGGGCATTGCCCAAATGCCTCTTAAACACTGACAGGCCTGGGGCATCGACCACCTCTCCAGGAAGCCTGTTCCAGGGTTTGACCGCCCTCTCGGTAAAGAAATGCTTCCTAACGTCCACTCTAAACCTCCCCTGGCGCAGCTTTGAACCATTCCCATGTGTCTTGTCCCTGGATCCCAGGGAGATCAGCACCTCTCTACGTCCCCTCCTCAGGAAGCTGTAGAGAGGGATGAGGTCGCCTCTCAGCCTCCTTTTCTCCAAACTAGACAAACCCAAAGTCCTCAGCTGCTCCTCAGAGGACACGCCTTCCAGCCCTTCACCAGCTTTGTTGCCCTCCTCTGGATGCATCCGAGGACCTTCACATCCTTCTCAAATGGTGGGGCCCAGAACCGCACACAGTACTTCACGTGAGGCCGCACCAATGCTGAATACAGCGGGACAATCCCCTCTTTTGATCGGCCGGTTATACTGTGTTCAATGCCCCCCAGGCCGCGGTTTGCCCTCCAGGCTGCCAGGGCACACTGCTGGCTCCTACTGAGCCTGCTGCTGACCAGCACCCCCAGACCCCTTTCGGCAGGGCTGCTCTCCAGCCACTCCCCTCCCAATTTATACTTGTGCCTGGCTTTTTTTTTTCCTTCCTTTTTTTTTCCCTCCTGTTTACTTATATTTTAGTATAAAACCAATTACACAGAGACATATGACACATTTACAAGTATTAAATGCTGAAAATACAAAAGCGAACAAAGCAGCAGAGCAGCATCAGTTTTCTGTCTTGTTGCTCTTCGATAAATATTCGCCATGTATTTATTCACCAAACTGACAGTTTAAGCCCATTATACTTTCCAAGGACTCAGAGTCTTTCTCTTCTCCCTTGTCTCATATGGATTAGCTGTGGCATAGCCAGAAAGTCAATACACATGAGCAGCTCATACATCTGCAAGTGATAACAGAGAGACCTCTACTGACCACACCTGCATCAGATGAGAGTCTTTACAGTCTCCTGTCCCTCAATTTCTTTATGCTGTCGGCTCTGTCCCCCAATCTCCCCGCTTCCTGCTGTGTTCCAGGCTATTCTTAATTAATTACACTTCACTGGTTACATGTACTATATCAGGACTTACAACCCCAAGTCAAGACTCGTAGTTCTACACGCGGAGACAAATAACATGGAAATCCTTGTTGTGCCCCAAACTTCAGAGCACGATGCTGAGAACACAAGGGAGGAACGGGAGGCTTATGAGCAACCAGATAAATAACAGCCAATAGCCAGGCAGTCACCTGGCCAGCATAAACCACTACAGTCCTCGTTGTTGTCGTCTCACTCTTTTGCCCTCACTCATTTTCACTTTTTTATGTCACATTAGTATTTATCGTGTTATAAACTACTCTTTCCTAACATTCTATACATTTTTATTAGTCACAGGATGACGCTTTGCCACGCATCAACAGTGTATTTATAATTAAGAATTAGTATGCATTACACTGTTAAAACAATAGGATTATACTGGATAAACATTTAACGTTCCTTTCTTCTGCTTGTGGGCCCGCTTTATTACTTTGTTTATAATTTAAAATAAATGTGATTAGCAGTGAGCACAATCACTCCTTTGTGCCAGCTCTCCAAAACGGATGTCGTAGTCTGTGTGTTCAAATCCTAAAGTTTTATCCTGCAAGCTCCTTTTTGTAAATAGTACTGTTTATTACTTGTATAGCAAATAATTTTAGAATAGAATAGAACAGAACAGAATATTTCAGTTGGAAGGGACCTACAACGATCATCTAGTCCAACTGCAAGTGTTTTACAGCACTTTGGTCATGGATTAGGATGCCAGTATGCTACAACTGCCCAAGGTAAGCTCCAAAGACCTCCCAATCTGAGTAAATTTAACCTCAAGATGGGCAGATTCATAAGCACAATGAGCCACTCTTAAATAGGGCTAGCAACACGAGTGGTAGCACAGCCAAACCTTACACTCGTGGTTTATGAGCAAGTTGTTGGGTTATTCTTTCTATCAGAGTTGTTTGTGGCTTTATAGGTTCCAGTTTTAATATAGTAAATTTGTTTTCCTTCTCCTGATCAGCCAGAGAGACCAGGATGAGGCCGGTGGTGCTGTCTGTGCCAGTGCTGGCCGTTTCTGTCTGTGTTGAGCTGTGCAGCCAGCCATGTGTATACGTGTATATGTCTTGTATGGGTGTGCCTGTGTGTGCCTGCTGGGGATACGTACTCAGCCTCGCTACTTGTTGGGACCTCAGAGTACGGCGCTGTGGCAGCCTCACCTCCGTCAGGCTCCTGGATTCGGCAACCCCTAGCAGCAGGGAGTCACTGCTCACGGAGAGGCAGCGAGGGTTTCCAGTGCTGGCCTGCATTAGGTGTCCGTGGCAGGAAAGAAGGGGGTGTACTGTAGTGAAGAAAGCTCGTAAGAAATGTATTTTCAAGTTTGCCACCCCCCAAACCCAATTTCAGGCAGAGCTGAGGAAAGCTGACGGGCGCCGAATGCTTCTGAGATGGGCTGGCTGAGGGCAGCCCTGCAGCGCGCTGCCCGGAGCCGGGTCTGCCTTACCTCGTAGAAGAACGGGTGCCCCGCCATGTCAAAGATGTTCACCTTCATCTCTCGGTCTCTGACCTGCACTCTGAAAGGAGAGGTGGGAAATGCTTGAGAAGGCTCCAGCTCAGCCCTTGCACAGGCTGTGCCCCCGCAGGAACACCCCTTATCTCTGCCAGCCCTCTGCAGAGAAAGAGCTGGGTGATCAGGGACAGAAAAATCAGGAAGAGGTTCCGAGTGCCGGTGTTTAGTGGCCAGAAAACTGCCCCTAGAGCTGGTCAGACAAGGAGGACAGCAGCAGCTCTGCATGTAACATGATAATGGGGAGCTACGCTACCAGAGGAAGGCTGATCATGCAGATTATCTCATTATTAAAGCAGAAATTCAGATTATGCCGTGGAAACTAAGCAGCCTTGGCAGAGCCAAGCACACCTGGCTCAGGGCAGCGTGGTCACTCAGGAGCAGCGGGAGGTGGGACAGTCCCACTGCACCTCTTCCCTCTGCCCCTGTGGAGACCAGCGCCCCCCGCAGCAGACACCTCGCCCAGGCCCTGGCAGACCCCACGCCTGCCATCTGCGACCACGCGGCTCATCCCACTCTCCCGGCACTTGCGGCTCCTCACCGCAAAGGTACTTACTTTGTGACGCCGTAGTCGATACCAATAGTCGCCAGGTATTTGGGAACGAACCTCTTCTCACAATAACGCTTTATAATGCAGCTCTGGGAGAAAGGAAAAGGGAGTCTCAGCAGGATGGTACTCTACACCATAATATTCACATTCATACGGAATTTGCTGACAGCCCCCAGCCAGCTGGACGGCTGCAAAGACATCAGCTCTGCCCTAAGTCCCTAAATGAACTAATTGACCCACAACCAAAGCACCAATCTCTACCAGGAGCAGTTTTCTTTCTGCAAAAAAGAAGGAAAAGCCACTGGGTGTCAGTTATTCCTTACCTGTGTGGGGGTTGGAGCGCCAAGAAACTCTGATTTATTCCCCTACGGAAAATATCCAGCCTGGAGGATCTGTGTGTTCGGGGGCCTGGGGGCAGTCAGCTCCCCAAAAGCCAGAGAGAACATTTGGGCAGCCGGAGCGGGCAGCCCGAGAAGCGCATTCGGGGTCACACCAGGTCCCTCCAGCCCCGCTTCTGCCCCTGACTGGCAGAGATAGTTTGGGGAGAGCAGAGGAGTCAGCTGCTATCGGCCGTCGAGAGAGAAACGCCATAAGGATAAATGCCACCTCCTTGCCCGCTCACTCCGTCCTGTAAGATCCTTCTGGATCTTCTTTGCCATCAGCGAGGCGTTTGTCTGCCCCGAGGGAGTCCTCGCGCTGTCAGCGGCTTAACGGGACATTTATTTAGCAAACAAAAAAGGGCAGCGCTTCAGAACGGAGCCTGGCTGGGAGAAGAAGTAACAACACCCCGGAGAAGAGCGGGGCCGTTCACCACAGCAGGAGGAAGGGGAGCTCCTGAGGAAACCCTGACTAAAGCCAAACCGGGGAGGGGGTGGGATTCCCCCCCTCCCCCCGCAACCTCCCGAGTGCCCTCGGGGAAGGCACTAAGGGCTGGATCCACGCTTTCTGCCCTCAGGCGCTGCACTACGGCATCTGTGGCTGGAGCACGGTCGTGCGGGCTCCCTCTGAAGGAGGTGGACGCGGGTACGCAGGAGCCCGGGCACGGAGGAGACCGTTGACCCACGGGCGCCGCCACGACACCCACTCCCCGCTGCGCGCCGAGGCACGCGGCCCCGCCCCTCCCCGCAGATTCCCCC